GTGAGACCAAAAGAAGGTCTTAATACCTATGTGCATATGATCATATAAAATGATGCTTATCAAAATGAACTCAATTCCAATTTTTATTTCTTTCTCTTTTCAGAGTCTCTACTGACACCACACTTGACCCCAGACAAACCCTTCACAGGTTGCATCCGCCACTTCGTGATTGATGGACGCCCCGTGAGTTTCAGTAAAGCAGCCTTGGTTAGTGGTGCTGTGAGCATCAACTCTTGTCCTGCAGCCTGACATGACCAGGCCACAGCTGCCTAGAGTACAGAATTCTTTGGAGCACTGAAATAAACACAGAGACAGTCAGGAAGAACTCTTTTCCTGTCAGTAGTAGCTCTCATCATATTGAACAGGACTTAAATGAATTGTTGGGGTCTGGATGCTTCTTCTCATTTGGATTTATAACCTGGGGGGTCCAAAATGCTTGCAGTGGGAAACAAGAAAATTTGTATTGAGGGCATACATACTTCCTGCTGGCAAAATTACTGTTGCTGTCTCTAATAAAAATAAAATGGGTTCTAAACAAACACTGGTATACATTTTGTAATAGTGACTACATTCTCAAATTCACCTTTCAGGGAAGATAACTTTCAACTTACACAAAAATATTTTTGACAAAAACTACCTTTATCTTAGAAAGATTTACTCACATTTATGAAATCTAAAATTAGAGGATACATTTATCACTTTAACAAGAATAGGTTTATTACCTCCGCTGTCAAGATTTAATCAAGTTTCATTTGGCAAATAGTAGTATAGTTTATTTTTATCTAGATAAAGGAAATTTAACTGCTGTTTATAAGAAAAAAATATACATGGACGCTATTGTAAGACATTAACATTCCCTGTGTTCTATAGGAATCACTAAGGAATTACAGAAAAGAGAAAAATCATAAAATTCAACTTAAAAAAATAAAAGTTCTTTTCTGAAGGTTATTCCTTCAGAAAAGTGTAGCTCAGTAATAGAGCCTTGGGCAATTTGTCTTGACTTTGTTTTCTTTAAGGAGGGTTACATTTTTATTTGACAATTATGTTATCACCTTTATTTTCTTGTTTTATTTTTTTATCTGATATTCCTCAGCCTTAGGCTATCTATTTACAATTCCTAATAGAAACATAGTTTTTCTCAGTCTCTACTTAAAGTCTCTACTGTTCAGCAAGGTCTTTCCTCTTTGATTGGAATTCTCAGGTCTATACAAGCTTCGAGTTTGTCATGTTATGACTCCCTCGAAGATTTTTCTGATTTTTCAACTAGTTCAGTATATACATGTATAAGCTAATATTTTTCTTTGTCTAAAAAGATATGTCAAATATTCAAAGAGGTTGATAATTGAGAGAACTGTATCTTTCCCCAAAAACAGTCTTTTGAAGAAGACAGTTTCATTGGATGAAGTTCCTGGGAGAACATATATAGAGCTGGTCTAAACTTCAAAAGTGATCCTAAAGTCTGAAATAAAAGGATTCATCTGAGATTTCTCAGTATCATTTGTAGACAGTTTCAAGATGACTGTTTGTGACTTCAGTCATGATTATAGAACATCATTTTTCTTGATGAACTAGGAATCACCTTCCATATCCTTAACCTCATTATCAATAAATTTAGTAAATAATCTGAGCTCCCTTAGTAGCAGTTTTACAGGAGCTTTAATCATGCACTAAAATTTTTCTTGGGTATTTTTTCCCAAATACACATGCTCCATTTCTTAACTGATACTATCAAAATTTATTAAGCCAGAAACTATCTTGGGGTATTCAATAAAAAGATTCTACCAAGTGTCAACACAAATATAAACCATGGAATCTTTCTTAAAAACATTCAGTATTTAGAAAAGGTCCCACAGAAAATAGACTTGAATAAGTATGCACACATTTAAAAAAATCATACATGCTAAAGAAGCCAGGTGAGCAACAGTACCTTATTTTAGCATAATGAGAATAGGTGCATTCAAGAGGGTAGGCAGGACAGTTTTACATAATTTATGTCACCCCTCTTGACCATAAGCATAGTAGCATAGAGAGATATACCATCATCTTGAGGGAGAGATAATAAGCAAGCATAAGACTTTGCCTTGGAAGTCATATGAGACTACCATAGTAAAACCTGGCACAAAATCACAAAGGCCCCAAACATAAGGCCACTACTTCATCTGTGGGTAGATCTATATCTAATCCAGCCCTAGCAAGATGAGCTTGAATTCTGGCCTACATCACCACAGCAAATTATAGCCGCCTTTATCCTGAATATACTCGGCAATGTGTCAGCCATCATGGCCAACAGACTAGTGTTGCACCAGCCTGACAGCAACAGGCTTTGAATGTAACCAACAGCCTTAGTAAATAAAGGATGCTTTCCAATAGTGGTCCTAAGCTTAGAGTACCCTTTTAGCACTGTAATGGTAAAAGTGGTCACAAGATTCGGCACTGGGTCAGTCAACCTGCCCCAAATCCCTGTCTATAGGAAAATCCCAAGCACAGACAGACTGTGAAGATTGGATTCAACACGCACACACACACACACATTCGTAATCATAAAAGCCAGAAAGCCAGGATCAACCAAAGAAACATGACATCACCAAATGGAAAAAGTAAGATACCAGTGGCTGATCTCAGAGAACTGTCTGAAAAAGAGAACTCCAAGTAAGCTGTTTAAGGAAGCTCAGGGAACTTCAATAAAGAGAAACAATAACAACAGTAATAGAAATAATTTTAAAGAACTAGGTGGAATAGGAGAAACCCTAAGTCTCCTTGGAACAGACCGAAATTTTCTTAATAGAGACCTAGAAGCACAACAAATCAAAGAAAGGTTGGACAAATGGGATTGCATGAAATTGCAGAGCTTCTGCATGGCAAAGGACATAGCTAGCAAGATCAATAGAAAGCCCA